AACCAGGAAGTTTTTAATGAATTTTGTAGGCCCTATTGTAGAGCCAAACTATGGGTTCTAAGATTTCATTTGTTGTAAGAGACCGAACAGGTAAACAGTATGACATGGTTGAGAGTATAATGGCATGAAGATAGGTATTTGAAACAGAAGATGTCAGATTGGATCTAATTTTTGAATAAACGTATAATTTCTGTTTCAACTTAGTGGTTAAGACTTGTACATGTTATTATAACATCAGACGCCCTTTTTGGACCTTTGGCTCCTGATCTCATATCTGTCATAAAACAGCATTAACAACGCAATAAAAACAAAAATTAACATTTTTATTAGTTTGTTTGAACTTGTGGTGAATAAAATAGAAGCAAGTTAAAGTGTGTTCAGAGTAACATGAATGAGTCAAAGAAAAGAGCGACAAAGCGGCGTTTTTGTTTGCTCAAAGTTAATAAATTTATGTAGCCCATTTTCCAAACGTTGCACCATAAACCTGTTTATGATCCACGAGCTCAGATTCCTGCGTTAATAATTGCTTCATGGGAAGTTCTTTGTTTTATCTGTAATGGTTACCAGGCAGCGGAGGCTCAAACAAGCTATTGTTTCTACATGTATTCATATGAAAACAGCTGAAAACAAACAGTCGGACACATCTTGACTCTTACATAAGTCTCTCTGCTCGCAGCTGAAACTGCAGCTTCCTGATCGCTTGTTTCAGATCAAATCACACGAAAGTGAGGGAGGGGTACAGTAGATCAAGTTCTGATGATCAATAATTTATCAGCTGGGAGCTGAGTGCGGGGTTTGGTTCCTTCGTTCAGCTTTGACTCCTGATCACAAAGATGAGCAACAGGTCAAAAAGGGCAACACTGGCTTCTCTTTTCAGAAACAAGCCTGTAGAACAAAAAAATAAAAGAAAAAAAATGGAGCTGAGAGAACAAAGCTGTTTGTCCTGTAAAATGAGCAACAAAGAGAGGATGTAAGGTGTGGCCTTTATGAAACTGTTTTCACTTATTTTGTTTCTTTTAGTTAAAACTGCTCTCTTTTGTTAGGATTTATGGTTTTTAGTCTTCAATCTATCATGTTAGGAGCTTTTGGAAACAATAGAGTCAGTTCAGGTATTGGGGCAAAGCTGCAACTTCTGGTTCATTCATTTAATCTTTTAATAAATGGTGTCCCTCAAGGATTGACACAAGGCCCACTGCTTTTTAGTTGTGTTTTTTAGTGAGGTAATTTCAACAAACTCAGTACATATTAGTCCCTATCTCCATCTTTATTTGTGGTCGGGTTGCAGAGGTAACAGGTCCAGGAAAGAAACCCAGACCTCACTCTCCATCTATTATTAACAACGTCATTCCAGGATTCACACAAGGCCCACTGCTTTAGTTTTTTTATTGAGGAAATTTCAACTAACTCRGCACATATTTTTGTCTCTGTTTACTTCTCAACAACTTATTTCTGGTCAGGTTTCAGAGGCAAGAGTTCCCTCTCCATCTTTAAATAATGGCATACCTCAAGGATCAACGCAAGGCCTACTGTTTTTTATCTTTTCCATTTATTTAAATTTGACTAACTCAGCACATATATTTTATTTCTGTTTCCATCTTCAACAACTTATTTGTGGTCGAGTTGCAGAGGCAACAGTTCCCTCACCATCTTTCAATAATGGCATACCTCAAGGTTCGACACAAGGCCCACTGCTTTTTTACCTTTATTATTGAGGTAATTTTCAGTATAACTCAGCACATATATATTTGTCTCGGTTTCCATCTTCAACAACTTATTTCTGGTTGGGTTTCAGAGACAACAGTTCCCTCAACATCTTTCAATAATGGCATACCTCAAGGTTTGACACAAGGCCCACTGTTTTTTTTTAACCTTTTTATTGAGGTAATTTCCAGTATAACTCAGCACATTTTTTTGTCTCCATCT